GGGGGGGAGGGGGGAGCATATTTATGGTTTTTAAGACATGACCATTGGAGGGGGGGAGGGTAGTGCAGCAGAGATGTTGACCTCATTCACCACTAGTGTGCAAAATACAAGTAGGTCATAATGTACACTACACTCCGACCAAAATCGAATAGAGAACATATAAAAAGGCTGACCTTATTTTAATAAAGACATAAATATAATGGGGGAGGGGGGAACTTTAGACTGTCCCTTTTACACCTATGGCCTTCTGTGACTGCTAGACAGAAGTAGCCAAAGTGTGTAGGCCCCTATGTCCTTTGAGGGACTGAGACTGAAAATGAAAGAACGCTGAGACCAAGAAAGTTATTGTGAAGAATTTTGAGTCCTTGGCCAGAAGCGGTACATGGCACAAGACTAGAAGCTATTTACGAAGAAACTTACAACTTGGATTTTGTTTCTTGGAATGGACACATTAACAATAACGTTCATTTAGTGCTGAGGATAAAGAATACAAAGGGAGAGCAAAGAAACAGGACTTACTAGTTGCACCCTCCAACCACTTTTAATATAAAAAGTAATCCACCCCATAGCTGCATAAAGCAAACGACGACAGGTATAGTTCGATAAAAACTACACCAAAGAATTAAAGCAAGAAAAAAATCCAACCAAAGCAGCAAAATAAAAAAGACCTAGAAAAGGTCAATGACATCACAAGACATATCTTGAGGCGAAAAGTATAAAATAGCTGCAAATCTAAACACAGTCGAAAAAGTTGGAACTACTGAAACAGCTATTAATATTATATACTTTCACTGCATTCAACTCTTTAGACACTTTACAGCCAAGAAAATAACAAAGAAGAATGACATGACACGCCTGAACATCTGAACCTTTTTTAGATTCTTTGCTTTTTCAGTCCAGACCTACGGAGCAGAAAATTGGAGCTGTCAAAAAACACCCGAAAAATACTTGAGTTGAGACAAAGTTTACGAAATATCACAATGACAACGGCCACAAATACTATTGCATGGAAACAGATTCGGACAGAAGTAACATTGGAAACAAGAAGAATGAGTGGAGAACATCAGAGCACCAATTAACGACCCACTCTAGAAAACAAATTCCTTTTTGCATTGTCTGTATATAAACTTAAAAGGGCGCACACCAACCTTTGAACATATTTTTGGGGGGAAGGGGAGCATAAAAATTATTTTATTCCGTGGCACAGAAAAAGAAACAGGAAGGCAGGTGCAGTTTTAGAAACAGAGAGAGTGAGATAAACTGAATAAATATTGTCAACTAAACCTTTCAAAAAAATTTAGTATATTATCATCATTAGTGAGAGAGAGAGAGAAAGAGAGAAGAAGAGAGAGAGAGAAAGAGAGAAAGAGAGAAAGAGAAAGAGAGGCTAAACAGATAGCGTAGAGGCCCACAAGCATTGTGTGGTAGCAGAAGAGAAACTAATCAGTATATAATATAGAGAATATAACATACACAATATGCATTACGTGGACAATCAAGTGCCTAGGAGGAAAAAAAAAACAACAAAAAAACTTTGGGTAGGGCTTTACAGTACTTATAACACTTTTAATGTGTGTCTGATTGTACGACTGGGGAAAAATATATTAGACTAAAGTATTGGAAACTGTACAAATAAAAAAGGAAAATGAACCCTACAAACCCCCACCCCCCACCCCTTTAAAAAAATTAAAATTTGATTCCAAAAAAGCCTTAACACCTAAAATACACAAAAAAGTATCAAACTTGCTATTTTTATTTCTATGGAGATATTTAGCCTGAGACAGTAAAGAATGAGAAGATAACCATAAGAAAATGATCATAAGAGACCGGATTAATTCAGAACTTTATGAGACATAAGAGGACGTAAAAGGTACACAGCCTGAGATATGAGCAACCTCACAAAATGAACAAAACTTCCTAAAAGAAAATTAATTTCCTGCACCAAGATTAAAAATCTTTTTCAGAGAAAAATAAAAGTTCCCTCAGGTATATGGACAATGCTACACACTCAAGATATAGTCAGATTAGGAAGTTCACAATCAAAATATACTTTGAGAGATACACAGAGAACAGAATCATTGTTTATCACTTACTCCTCTGTAACTCTGAAAACCAACAAAACAGCTAGAATCTATATAACCAGAGCATAGAAAAAAAGCAATATGGATAGAATTCTTATCTTATCTTGGCAAAGGGCACATGGCACATTCAGTAATGTGAAACAAAAAAATCTCTAGCTGGTCTACCGACAGTTGTGAACAGCTTTGAAAGGATTCACACAAAAAGCATCACTACTTCTACAGACTTTGCCAACAACTTTTAACAAAACACTATGGTATTTCTTCATGAATAACAAGCAATATTCTTCACGATGCAGTTTCCAGTCATATGTTTACACAACATGACACTCAGATTGTATTCACTCAGAACTCGATACCAGCTAGTTTTTGTCAACTGCCTTTATAAGGGTAAAGATACCAACAGTTTGAATGACCTTGGAAAACTGTGCACATCAGCAAGTTTCAACGTGAAGATTTAATTATCTTCTAAAATTTGTTCTTCTCCGAATAGTTACTTTTTCCAGCATCATCGCATAAAACAACTTCTCTTTGCTAATTTAATAAAAAGGATACTTTAAACATTCACAATGTCGAAGCATAATTTTACGATTCAGAATACTTCAGAATGGAACGAACCACCAACATGACACACAGATGATAATTGAAGTAATTTGTCAAGATGGGTAGACTGCTTCTATAACAGTTTGTTAAAAAAAGCATCACTTAAAAGCTGCTCTAAATAGGCAAAAATCTTGTTGTTCAAAAACTAAGTTAATTCTGTCATTTGTTTCAACTTGCCACATAATATTTATTACGGTACTGGTTTCGACCAAACTTCAAAAATGGCATTTGTTGTCAAAACTGTTCAAATATGTATCTTATATTGAGCAGCCGTTATCAGACAACTTAAACCCGACAGTAACTTTAACTGCAGATAAGCAAAAGAACAAGCAAGCAACATCAGACATAAAGCTGGGGACGAGCACACGATGAAGAGCAACAGGACAAACATGACACTGTCACAGGAATAAAGAAGAATGAACAAAACAAAGTGTACCTTCTGCTCAAGCAGTTGTGAGGGAAGATGAGGACAGAAAATACCAAGAAGAACATTTAAATATTAATGAGCACAGAGAGATTGGTCATTGTATCTATCCTTTGTGGCGACTAACCTTGTGTGTTGTTATGTGTAGTACGTGTGTTGTTATGTGTGGTACGTGAGTTCATGAGTGAGAGTTCAGGGAAAGTCGCCAAGCTGTTCGAGTGAATGTACGAATGTCATGTTTCGTCCTGGAAGGCCTTATGTGTGTGTATTTTTCTTCATGTGACAACAGGATTATGCTCGCTGTCTTTCCACGCGTTCTAATAATTTGCTGAACGAAAGGACATGTAAGCTACACTTTTGTGAAATTCTTAATAATCTGGGCCTTTTTTTAAATGAAAAAAATTAAGGATATTTTGAAGCTCATAAATGTTAACCTTGCTGATGATATGAGCAGGTTTTAGATCTACATGAGCCTTTAATCATACAGGAAGCTTAAATTATCCAATCTTGACTTAAGATAATGAAATCTTACTGATTAAACAACAATGTGTTCTTATGATGAATTTATGAACATTTTGTCAAACTTTTCATTGCAATATTTAAAAGCAACTTATAAAGAGAATCCTAATTTTCTTTCCCAAAGATATTTCTTTTCAGAGTCTCTCTTTGCATTTGTACTGCAGTCAGTCTCTTCATACCTTGGCTATTCCATGGTCTAAATACAGGACACCTTTCAGAGACCCCATTAGTATCAGTAGAGTTAATTAAAGAAGAAATTGAACAAAGCTGATGGCTACTATAAAAAAGTTGGAAGAAAAGAAACTAGTAAAAGTATTCCTAAACATTATCATAACACAAACATTCGCATGGAAGAAGAGAAATTATTTTTAAAAAACAACAACAACAAATCTAAAAAGCTTCTCTTGAAAGAGACAGATAAAAAAAAATGTCTTCTATCTTGGGAGGTCTCGAATATGTATACTTTCATGTAATTGTTCAAATGTCTTTCTAATGTATTGCAATGTTGTCATTTTCTTTCAAGTGTGATCTATTTATACACAAAGGCCAAATCACAGATATTACATGTATGGCTTTTAGTTATTTAACAGTCGTTTAGTTCTGTGAGGGAATTTAACTCTTTAAGAAATGAATTGCATGCACATGGTAGAAAGTGAGGTTAAGCAGGTCATAATAAATGAAGAAAACAAAAACATGACTTTCGCCACTGTCGACGCACCTTCTTTTTTCTCCTTCTCCAGGTCAGGCATGAGAGGCTTGGCAGTCTTAGTGGCCATGTTGTTCTCCTGTAGGGACTTCATGATCCAGTCCAGGGCCTGGGTGGTCAAAACAAGCTAAGGAAACAAGAAAGTGATCGGGATAGACAAAATCATAGAAAGATGATATCAGACAAAGATGATATACACATAACATGAAACATGACTCCTGCAACATCTGTTAATTTTTTTTCCTTTTTGATCTTGTTGTTGTTCTTCTTTCCTCTTCTTCTACTGCTACTACTACTACTACAGCAGCAGAAAATTTTCTTTCCTAAAAATTTCTCCTTTCACGTCCTTTCCTGCTCTCAAACAATGTTCTGTTGTCTGCTTTCATCTCCACTTTCTACCCCCACCCCCACACCTCCTTTGCCCCCTCCTCTGGGCTCCTTACTCTTTTGCAGCCTTTCTACTGCTACTCCTTGGCTCCTTCCTACCGCTGTCTTTCAGCACACCACTGATCTTACGGTAGGTAAGATCTAACATCTAGCCTTCTCGGACAAGGGCGAAAAATCTCGGAGGTCCAGTGCGCAAGTTGCATGCGTTAAAGATCTCTTGGTAGTCCAAAATCGATAAGAGTAGGCTCCGGCTGCTACCCGCAAAAAATTCAAAATTTCCTACCAAATGAAAATATTTAATGTGTCCAGTGCACTCATATGACCTTATGCAGTTGAGAGCACCGTAAAATACCTACCAGAAAAAAAAAAAATTTTCCCCTATCTCTCCTTTGCCAGACCTGTGTGCAAGGGAGCTAAGAGTGTTTCCACAAGGGTCATAAAATAAATAACATTTTTAATTAAAGCGATTCCAAATGTTCAAAATACGGTTGCTTTTAAGGACAAGCGGTCGCTGCCAAGAGCGAAATGCTCGCAGCTAAAGGGATTTGAAAACAACAACAAGGACAAGCGGGCAAAATGAGATTTAGGGGGTTACCAGAAATCTGGACCTACACCAAAAGTGGGCATTTTCCTACCTATAGGATACGTTTGGTTTCATTGGTGTGTATATTTTTTTGGTTGCAGAGAAAACTCTCCTTGCCTTTTAAAGAAACTGAACAAGGGGCAAAAACTTTATCTTCAATTTTCTCAAAAGAGCATTTTTCGGGATAGCCCCCTTGTGCTTAAAAGCGATTATATGCACTATAATCATACATTTTTTTAAAGCTCAATGACTTGGCAAGGTCAGTAAACAAAAAAGAAATATATAATATTTGTTTCCTCCTCATCTTATCCTGTTCCTCTTTTAGAGGGGTGAAAATATTCATCTCTAAGAACTGTAAAAAGAGTATGGTTCATTTCTTTCATGTGAATGATATTACCCCAATAAAAAAGACAATGATGTCCATTCAGTTTAGTTTAGTAAAAGTTTTAGGGCACTTGCAACACAATAAGGTGACATAAATGCCGAAGATTAAAGGTGTTATAAGAGAATAGCAAACACAAAAAAAAGAGGAGTGATAAGGACGACAGATGGCTGATAGGAAAGCAATTCGTGAGGCAGCGTTGTGAAATCGGGCGCTTGTCAAAATAATGAAATTGAAGAAACTGGCATTTTCCTTCCGGTTTGGCAATTTTTTTTTTATCGGATTTTGATTTTAGGCTCAACACCATCTAAGAACATATTTTTGTGAGGATTATACTGAAAAACATTGATAAGAGGCACAGAAAATGTAAATTTTCAGTTTCCGTGAACTCTCAAGCTATGAAAATAACCAAACTTTGGCAGCCATTTTCTCCCTAGTTTTACCTCTGAAACCAAATAAACCCCACCTCCTTCAATCGCAAATATCTCAATTTGTATTCAAAATAAATGGACGTTTTTTTCCATTAAAAGCAAGACAAATAAACAAGTTTTAAGATGATACCAATGACTCCACACGCCAAAAGTTAACGAGCGCCTGATTTCACCGTAACGTGACACATTTAGAGATGAACGAAGAAGAAGAAGAAGAAGAAGAGAAAGCTGACCTGTTTCTCGACACTGTCCAATCGTTTCTGCAACATGGGAGGGATCTGCACGGAGAAACCATCAGCTGGCAGCCCTTGGGGACCCTGGCCCACAGCGCCGTGACTCTCCTGTAGCTCGTCCACCTTGGCCAAGATAGTCTCCAGTCTGAGAGATGACAAAACCACTCATCACAGTCATTTGCTTGTTTGCATAAATATTTTACGGCACTTGCAACAGAAAAAGGTCATAAAAGTGCTGAAGATTAGAGACAAAAGATGTTACAAGAGAGTTTGGGGGGGTTTTTGTAAAGAGTTTTGCATCACTTGCAACAGAAAAAGGTCATAAAAGTGCTGAAGATTAGAGACAAGAGATGTTACAAGAGAGTAACAAACATAAAAAAGAAGGAGGAGAGATAAGAGCAGATGTTTGATAGGAAAGAAGGAGGTAACCACACCAGAGCACCCGCCAACCACCCTCAATCACAGACAGAATGGTCTCCAGTCTGAAGGATGTATTTAAGAGAAGCGCTTACTTTGACCACATTTAAATTTGGTCTAAAAACTTATTTTTATTCAAATCCCATTTTACTAATTAGTTTGATTCTTTTTCCAACGAGTGTGATCAGTCATCACAAAGATTGTAATTTTGTGCATGTGTTCTTCCTTAGATTATAAGTGTATTATATATGCATTTGTAAGAATTGTCGTGCGTTGAAAGGGCTAGTACGCATAAAACGTTGATTTAAATTATTCTATTGTACAGCACCTATGGCCATCTGGGAGTGGGCACTGTTGAAGTGATCATCGTTGTTATTATTATTATTATTATTATTATTATTATTATTATTATTATTATTATTACTATTATTATTATTATTATCAGTATCATCACTATTACTATTATTATTATTATCACTGTTGTTGATGTTTTTATTGTTTTTATTATTATGAAAATAAATCATGCTCATACCATAATTCCCTGGGGGGGGGGGGTCAGGTTTCCTGTTATTGGTACGGTAAAAGTGTCTGTTACTTGCTGCATATCTTCAATATAACAAATTTGTGTCATAAACTAAAAATCCAATATTACTGTGACATTTTTATTTTTGTTTAAGTCATAAAGTTTTTTCAAGTTTCGTCAAACCAACAAAAACGACAATGTCAATTATTGAGTTATGACAGTGTCTGATATTCTAGGTAGTTAGAAGGTGTTCCAAGGAAGGTTTCCTTTTTTTCTTAATTCTTTTATTTCTTTCAACTGTCTAACTGTCGTATCACTAGAAAGGCTAATTCAATTTCAGGGGAGGAAGAAAAAAGACATATTGATGATTCGATGTTTTTTCCTAGAAAGACCAAAAACAACCTAAAACTGACTCAACTCTCAAACACACAATAGACAGGGAATACACTACCTTTCCAGGGAACTCTTCACTCTTCCAGAGACACTATTGGCCTCACTCTTCTCGGTGACGCTGAGGTAATTGTCAGCAATGACATTCTCCCACTGGATCAGCTGCTTCTCCTCTAGCTTGCTGCTGAATTCTTTGCCTGCGTGTAAGATGAACTTGTTCAGTGCTGAACACTACATTGGTGAATCCCTCTCCCATTTCAGACAGTTTTGTTACCATTACATGTAACTGGATTAACTCAGGAAAATAATCATAAAAATGAAATCAGAAAGATGTGATTTTGATTAAGAGAAGAAATGACTATTTTCATTGGTTAAGAAATAAAACAAAATTATTATTATATCAATGGAAACAACCTGAAATATAGCAATGTGCATTTTAATCTTGAGTATTTTCGATATTGACGACACCTTTAAGCCGACTGTTCTGTCAGTGGCTGCTTAAGATACTGATGGTCTAAATATATATAAAGATATGACAATTTGTATATTGATTCAGTTTTTTAGGAAACTGAACAAAAACAAGAAAACAAAGGTGTATTTTTGTACATCAGAGACACTTACACCAAGATTTTCAGTTCTAGTAATAGTTTTAAGAGACTTCCAACATAAACAGGTTATATAAGTGTCGAAGAGTAGACGTGTCGCAAAGTAGCAACATACAAATACAAGAAAGAGGAAAGACAGGAGGAAAGATGCTTGACAGAAAGAAGGAGCACCTGCCAACCGTTCACACTTACACTGAGACAGCAGCTTGGAAGAAAGTTACTGCTTAAATAAAAAAGACAGTCACGGATCGGTCAAACATAAACGGGGTAGCACAAAACAGCGAATACTCACGGAACTCATCGAAAGGATGGATTCTTTGGCCACGACGGCAACAGGCGTAGCGCCAGAAAATGTAAACATGGGAGAAGATGATGAAGGGTGGGGGCAAAGCTGGTCGCTGCGTGTACTCGTAGACCAGGTTGAAGCGTAGGAAGCACCAGTGCATGTCTGTGTTCTCCTGGATGGACTGGAATGTGTAGCTGGGGACACAAAATCACAGACCGTCAATGTCTTAGCATCCATATTGATACAGTTAACTCACTTGAGCCTATTTCCATGTATTCACGAGACGCCTGTGGTCTAATCCTGTGCATTTACGGGATGCGCTTTATCAATCAGTATCTGCACAGTTTTTCGGTTACAAGCTACCAATTGGGCGCAAAAAAAAAAGCTGCACAACCCCAGACATTGCCATTTCAAAATATTGATAAAATAAAAAAAGATTCAGACAAAGTAGATGCAGTATTCTTTTTCTGAGAGAGCATTGCTTTCTTTCTTTTGCTGCATTATAAAATTATGATAGCTTTCAGTCTTTTTGTGGTCAACGGTTCAGTATACCCCAAAACTGTCAGGCTGCAATGGTTGCTGGGTGAAAAATAGCTCAGGCTCAAGTGAGAAAACTCTTACCAAGCGCAATTATTTTATCACTTATGACTTATACATAATATAAAGACTGGTGGGACAGTGTGCAGCAAATTGCGAGAAAAGAGTTAAGTCTTTTAAGAAGTGGCCTGCCAGCTTTGACCTCAGCCGTCAGGTTCAGCCCAGAATGAGTGGGAGGCAGCATATCGTCAGAAAGACCGAGAAACACGATAAAATAAATTTCCTAATCCTGGATCTGAACTCAAGTCTTTCAGGTGCCATTAAAGAAACACAAAACAGACACACCACAGCGTTGAAGTACCTCAGTAAACAGAATTACCATTTATAGTTGACCCTGAAAATGTTAATGATAAAACCAGGAAAACAAGTTCTATTCAGCTATAACATGGTATGTTATGGGTAAAATATTTCTCGAGAACAAGCAAAAAATACCACAGAGTAGGAAATTGAAAAAAAACACGAAAAGAAAACTCTAAAAATGTTGGGTTTAGGACATCTGATCTATCACAGAAATTAATGTACAGAAAAGCGGGAAGACATGGAATAACATCAAGAGGCTAGCCCAGGATAGAGAAAGGTGGAGCGTTTGTTCGTGGCCTATACCCTGGTGCAGGGTGAGAAAGGCAATGATGATGACATCTGATCTGCTGGCCACCAAACAGCCTCCGACTCTCACCCACCTGAACATGGCAATGAGCAGATTGAGCAGAAGGACATTGGTCAGCAGGATGTAGCAGCCCATGAGGATTGGCACAAAGTAGCGTCCCACGGTGGACGGACACCTCAGTTCTGTGTAATTGTTGTACAGTGCCGGGTCGTTGGTACAGGAGCTCTCTCCTTGAGACCAAAAAAATCACAAAAGAGGTGAAAAAAAGAAATGAATCATGTATTTGACATTTTGGAGATAGACCATTGTTCAACACACACATAATATGTGTTACTGCTATACTATTTTTGATAAATTTCAGTGAGAACTAGGGGTGACTACCTGTCCAAATTCTTTATTTTGAGAAAACTAGTTTAAAATGGCTACGTGTACACAAGAAAATCTCTGACATAGAAACATTGACAGTTGTGACTGTGATAGCATTACTGAGTAGAGATGAAATTAGAATTGTGATCATAGCAAAGTAAAACTATTAGGCAAGATTGGTTAGATGTTCACATTGAAATGGTAGCCCTATAATCGTATGGCTGTAGTAGTAGCATCCAGTGGCATCCTATATTGCTTCACCCCCCCCCCCCTCCCCCTGACCCAAACATGAGCAACACACACACACACACAGAAACATACACACAGACATGCACACTTACACACACATACACATATAAAAACACACACACACACATGCAACCAAACACACACACACAAACACAGACACACACACACAAACACAGACACACACACACACACACACACACACACACACACCTACAAACACACATCAAAGGCAACAACAACAACAATGTCACTGTGCGGCATAATATTGAAATCAGGGGCTCATCAACAACAACAACAAAAGCAATAAACATTGCAACAATAACAGAGAAACTGTAACAATGGAAACAAAGTTAACATAAAAATGACAAGTACATCAACCGCAAAACTAGAAAAATGACAACAGCAACAAGAATAAAACAACACCTTCAATGTCATCCAACATAAATACCTAGTAGATGTGCCAGAACAACAACAACATCTGCAAACAAAATTTTTTTTAAACAGCAAAGAAAACAAAGACAACATTGCCGTAAGCTGACAAAGTGCCTTTTACAATTTTTGGCACCAGATTTTGTTTATTTGCTAACTCGAAAGCCTGATCAGTTACCGTACGAGCAGGAAAAATCAAAGAGAAACTGTCTAGTTTTTTAATAAATTAGAATTCAAATTTTGATAGAATACTTTTTTTCAGTGGTTATGCAGACAAAAACCATCTGTATCTCGAAACTGCAGTGAATTTAAAAAATAGGCATTTTGTCAGCTTACGCCAGAATAGTGCCAACAAAAAAAGCATACCTTCAATGTCCTCAAGTAGCAGCTCTCCGTAGACGTGCCAGTAGGCTTTGCGGGGTAGGAAGAAGAGAAGCTTCCAGTTGAGCTCTGAGTTGGGATATAAGACGGCCTCTGAGGCAATGGCGTAGGACACGATGAATACCAGGAGGATGACCACAAACCACAGCAAGTCTTGGACCATTCTGGTTATCATAACCACTTTGGGTCCCAGCTGCTTACTGACGGAGAAAATGTGAAGGACTCGGAAGAAAAACGTGATAAAGTTGATGCTGAGAATCACTCTGGCCGCGTCCATAAAGTCGTCGTTCTCAATGAAGCGGAACACCATCCCCAGGATGAACAGGAGGATGGTGACCACATCCAGAACGTTCCAACGGTCGTGGATGTACGATATAATCTTCGACTGGACTGTGTGTGCATACTGGGATGTTAGCTGAAAAGCAGAGAAAAAAATAATGTAACAAACGTGACTATAAACAGCTATAAGATTATGTGAGCAAGATATAAGTAAGAAAGTGATTATTTAGGGTTTAAATCCATTGGCCAACATTACATAAAACACTCATTTAACAAAGGTGCCACGACATGGTGGAATCAGGGGCTCGTCAATTTTTGGGCATATTGAGTTAATGGTACCATCTTAAAGCTTGTTCATTTGTCTTGTTTTCAATGGAAAAAAAAAATTACCCATCTATCTTTAATTGAAGTGGAGATATTTTGGATTGAAGGAGGTGAAGATGACCAGGTTTCAGATGTAAAATTATTGAGAATATGGCCGCCAAAGCTTGGTAACTTCCAAAGCTGGAGAGTCCATGGAAACAGTAAATTTACATTTATGTGCCTTTTATCGAAGAATTTCGGTAAAATCCTAACAGGAATTTGTGTCTAAATGGACATAAGATGTGCGTTGAGAAGAAAACAAAAATTTGATAAAAATTGCCAAGCCAGAAGAAAAATGCTGTTTTTTTCAATTTCATTATTTTGACAAGTGTTTGACTTACCCACGATGCCTCACAAATAAAGTTTCCAGAACTGTTCAGTTCGGTTCGGTTTCTAGCGGCTTCAAAGCACATTATAAATAGACTCCTTCCTCAAATTGATTGCTAGACTCATGGCCTTGAAAACAAACCCGTTTGTTATTGTAGGTCATTGTCGGTTTCATTTGGGTTGTGCCATGATGGTAGCTTTTCTCCCTCCATGGAGGAGAATCTGGCTAGCCCAGATGACTAAACTGAACCAAACCGAATCTATCTTGCAACAGGCACTGGGTATTACCTGTCGAATTTCCTCCACAAAAATGGCGAACACCCATCCAATGAGAATGCCCTCCACAACGTGGAACTCTCGCGTCAGTTGCACCACCAGGATATAGGCGTACAGCAGCAAGAAGACGATGTAGGCAATCTGAAACAGATGTTGGAAAATAAATGTAGAGAGAAAAAAAGGTTGCTGCTGTTGTTGTTATTGTTGTTGTTATCCAGTAGGAAAAAAGGTTAAAAACCTCATTTGAGATAAAAAATGAATGTTATAGGTCTACTTTCACTATTCCAGTATCACAAAGTAACCTTCTGCCCCTTCAGAAATGGTTTAATAAAAGCAAGCTAGATACATACCCTCAAAACATTAATAATCTAATCAAGCAGAGACAGTTTTTCAACATCATGCATTTTGTGAGAGCATCCAAGCAAAGAAATGAATGGTGAACCATGATCGTCGATGTCTTTTCAGATTTAGTAAAAGAGGAGGAGGAACTGAAGATGAAGAAGAAGAAACTATGCCTGAATTAGAGTCTGGCTCCACTCACCACATTGACGCTAAACCTGACCACTGGAGACCTGTAGAACATGAAATGTTTGTCGAGGATGCTGTATCCTTTCTTCGGGGGAGTTGACTCGGAGGCTTGGACGTCTCTGGGTGACACAGACACAAAGAAACATATACATTAGCTACTAGAATTAGCTTTCAGCAGAAAGAGACAAAAAGTACATAATTTATCTTGACAACATATTCTCTAAAATAGAGAGAAGAAAGAAAACAAAGGGAAACACTTTTTTCAACTGATGCAGAAATTTTGCACCTGGTTTGTTCTACACAGACACGAAACAAAACGACCACACAATATTCAGCAGACAGGCATTACTGGTGTAATGGTTAGGTGCTTGGTGGCTTTCACACACAGGAGACCCAAGTACCGTTCCCAGGTGGGGCAAATTTCTGCAGAGTATCTTAATCTTTCTGCTGGGACAATGTATCCACCCTAACCCCCCAAATAATTATATTCAAATAAGTCCGATTTTTTTTTTAAATTTGAAAACAAAAAAGATTTGCTGTCCTTCACACTCACAATATCAGATCAAACAGGACGTGGAAGGGCCTGTACTATCAATACAGTTTGCATTTGTACGAAGAAAACATCAGTTTGATAGCCATTAGGAGACATCAGTTCATCACGTAACTTCATCTATCAACCAGAATGCTGTATCACACTCAGCCCGGGCTTGCTCTGACAGGGAGACTGGAAGAGCCTTTTATTTACGCACAGCAGTTCCATGTGGTGTTCTTACTAGTCTCGTGTTTCCAGTTTCACTTTTCATAATCCTTCACATGCACATGTTTCATCTTTTTCATGTCTCTTCAATTTGCAATAGTTTGAGGTGTGAAAACACATCTTGCCGATCCAAAAATAGGTTGCACAAAAACGGGGAATATATATCCAAAGAGAAAGAGTTAATGATCTAAACAGTGTCAATGGGAGTGTAAAACATGTATGACATTCACAATGAGCCTGTACTCACAGCTGGAATGTGGTGGGTTCCCTGGACAAGGCCGGTTTGATATTTGTGTCCCTCCGTGCCAGCCGTGGCTTCTCTTTCTGAAACACCGAAAATCACGAAAAAGTTTTGTAGAGAAATCTTAACACAAGAACATTACATCTGACAAATTCGGTAAACACCCTTTAAAACACTCCTAACATACAATCAGTGACTATTACTATTAAACTGGAGATAGCAGTACATAAACACACATCACTATAATATGAGAACACATTGTTGTAGACAAAATATTAAAACTGATAAGAGAAAAAAATAATGGAGAAAAATGTTCTCACAATCATGGAAAAAAGAAAATGAGCAGACCCAGAAATTTAGAGTGCTGGAGGGATAAGGAGGAGAAAATACAGAAATAATAGTTTAGAATGGCTTAACCCCTAAGAGGATTGTTAAACTAATGTAGAACTACAACATTAAGGCGAGAGAGGTGGAGAAAGGCATTGAGGCAAAAGGAAAGGGCAAGCCAACATTATAATCATTGACACAGTCATAACACAAGAGGTTTCTAGACATTGGTTCTAAACAGAGACATTTTTTACATTTGCCAACATCAAGAGGCTGACTAAGTAAGCTGTATATTTTTCAAAGTTTTCTCATAACAACAAAAATCGACTTTGGTTATTGCGTTTTGATCAAGAGGATATCCACTCACAGAAGTAGTGTTGCCGTTTTCCTCACTCAGGGAGGTACCCTGGATTTCCACCTGTTTCGGCTGGTCGTCTTCCTTGAATCTGATGCCAAACTGAACCAGAGGGAACAGGAGAATGCTGGAGATGATCTGGAGATAAAAACAAGATAAATAAACTGAGGTAATAAAATAAAAATTCCATTGTTATTGACACCTTTGGAAATTTGACTTGGAAATGCAAGCACCCATTAATGAATACACAGCTAGGCGTGGAGGTAGTGAGGACGTGCAGTGTCAGGACATTACATTTTCAAAGAAAGCAAGAGACAGTTTAGATTGCTATGCTCTGATTATAAACTAAAGACAATTTATTTTAATAAAACTGGACAGATTGAGGAAACTCTTCGGAAGTAAAAGTTAAGTGTGCTGACAAAATGATTAACTTCTCGGATTCAAGCCTAATTGAAAGAGATACATCACTCTTACAGGTAAGGTTTTCACAGTTTGTAAGTATAATTAAATAATACAAGGGATGTTATAGTTAAAGGATACGACATCATGAGAAATTCTACAAATTTGACCTTAGCGTCGATTTTTGGCCAATATCTCCATTTGTGGATTGTGAAAAGTAACTCATTTTGTCAGAACATCTCACAAATAAATAAGAAAAATGTATCCTGATAGACTTTTAAAAATTCAAGCATAGCACTCTCAATCATAGTAAATCTACAATATTTTTGCAAAGGAATTTATGAAAACTCAGATATTTAAATAACACATTAAGTTACAAAATTCGTAGAATGTACACCCCTGAATTTAGGAAAACTCTTTTTTTTTTCAGAACTTTTCATAGAAAGGAAATTAATTTTTGAATAATAAATAATAATAATAACAACATAAAAAAAATTAAAGAATGAAAAATGACTTATTATCCTCTTTCATTCACCCTCACCCAAAGCAGACTATTATCGTGGGCTATTTTGCCCATCCAGATGGAGTTGAGGAGCGACTGGCAGGCGGTCTGTGAGATGAACGGCTTGTTGTCCGACTGAGCGGCCAGCAGCACACAGGTGGAGCAGCCCCAGTGGGGCATGTCCCTTATGAGGAGCTCATGGGTCCGCCGCTCATCCATGCCGTAACACGTGTTGATCACACCCACCGCCAGCTGGGCGTAGTCTCTGACAGAAGGAAAAAACAAAGGAGTCATATTGGGTTGTTGTTTTTTTATTACAAAGAGAACATTGATGGTGCTATGCCCGTCAACCAACCACCAAAAATCTCAAAACACAACAAAGTAAACACTTACTCCGAGGTAGCTTCCAACTGTCTCCCAAGTTCTGCATCAAACGTGTACCTCCGCATGGACTTGCAAATACTGCTGGCAAACAGAGCAGCTGCTGTCGCTTCCTGAAGAAGACAAGAATATGTTACAATGTAACGCTACCTTAGAATTACAAAGTTTTATCTGACATTTCTGGCCGTTTTCAGTTACTAAGACTATAAGGTCAGAAACCAAATGTCCTATCTGCTCTATCAAAATCGTAAGATTATATAGAGCTGTTATCAAGGTATTCAAAGAATTGATTTTGAAAAAGCTTTACATGTTGTGAAACTCTTTTACGTCAAATTTCTCAAAACTAGGAACTGAGCAGATAGAACTTTGTATTTCTGAGGTAGTCATAAGCAACTGATTCAAACTAATGGTACACCATCAGTATTCTTAGCATCAGGTGGATGACCCTGGTTTGAATCCTGGCACCTGGAACTTGTGTTGCTTGAGGAATTTCCCAAGATACTATATAAACTTGGCTTGGTCTTATATGACATGGTATATAAATTTGAGGCATTGCTTTTGAAGAGTCTTACAGAACTCAGATTTGCCATCTTACTTTGAACAAAAAATCTTGAACTTTTGAGGCTCGTGAAAATGCACACACTGGTACTTAGGATCATAGTGTCAAATACATCTAATGTCAAGACAAGATTATCTCTAAACAAAGTGCAAGACAACATACGCGAAGAGAGTAAGAAGTAACTGTTTCAAAAATCTAAATGTTCAGATTTCAACAAAAAAATCAGCCCCTCCGAATATACATGGGAAAAATAAAAATAAGGCAATAAAACAAGTCCACTCCACGAAGGAGTTCCCGCACAGTTAATTGTGGAAAGAGGATTTGAACCATAGCACATCAGCTACTGAACATTGGGGACAAACAGTAAGTGTTGAATCAAATACAAAATTTACAATGAAAAGTTACATCAGAGTTAGAAAATCAATGTTGGGCTTGCTGGGTGGTTTGACCATTCACTAAGAAGCAGCAAAGATGTTAACAAAATTATGTGAAAAACATATATAAAATATCAACTCAATTCATGTGATCAAATATCATCATTTCTTTGCGCTTTAAGTAACAGGCACAGCTTGTAAACTGTCTTGTTTGTGAAGAGTTTAGTTTTATGTTTGATCCTTATTGAGGAGAGTAATGTCCGACTTGCAGCTTATGTTGTAATATATCCATATCAAGCAACATGCAAAACTGAAAGAAAACAAATGTAAAAAAACAACAATATTACACAGCCCTGTCACCATGACATCTGCAGATTTATATCGCCTAAGGCGGTCACAGTGATAAAAGGGTAATAAAGTATAGGTTAAGTTGTGTAGAAGAATAAAGAAAAGCAATATATATCTGCAAATCAGGACGAGATAAAGAAACAACATGTAAGTAACGATAGTGACCTTTCCCTCTCTCCAGAAAACTTTGGATAACCGGCGGTGGTTCATCAGCACAGCCCAGATGAAGAGCTCCTGAGCAGGTCGAGAGAAGTCAATGTTATCGGAGCCCTGGGACGGGTCTATGGAGGAGAGAAAGTTGATAAGTTGGGAGTGATTCAATATGTGAGGCAGCGTGGTGGCATCAAGCTCTCGTCAAAGTAATCAAAGTGAAAAAAACTTGCATTTTTCTGCAGGTTTGTGAATTTTTATCAAATTTTTGTTTTTTTGGCTCAACGCCTTTCATGTCCATTAAAGAATTCATTTCTGCGTGAATTTTTCTGAAAAACATTCATTAAAGGCACAAAAAAGGTACATTTTCAGTTACCACGGCCTCTTAAGCTAAAGAAATAACTAATCTTTGGCGGCCATTTTCTCACTAATTTTACTTCTGAAAACAAGTCACCCCCCACCTTCTTCTTTCGCAAATATCTTGACTTGTATTCAAGATAAATGGATATTTTTTGCATCCAAATAAAGACAAGTGAACAAGCTTTAAGATGATACCAATAAATCTATATGTCCAAAAATTGACAAGAGCCTGATTCCACCACGCTGCCTCACATATAACTGAGATACCACAAAACATAAAACTCCATTAGCTCTTTCCTGCAGCTAGGACACGTCAACATTGACTTAGCTGACAGCAGCTGACATTTGAGTGCATTGTGTCACTCCATCAGTACTTTTGGGGACAGAGCAAGGAGGACATCAATCCTATGTACAAAACTAACCAACTCAAACTTCGACACTTTTATGACTTTATTGTGTTGCAAGAGCTGTAAAACTCTTATAAAACAAAATAATTCGGGCAAGACAAGTATTGAAAACAGGCTCACAAAAAAATGGAAAAAAAATCAACAAAAAACTAGGTAAAAATCCAGTGTCCACAATGGAAGAGACCAATTCAGCCACTGTGATCCTCTGATTGATGCCCTGGTTCCTGTTGTTCAACTTCAACACATACATTTAAAAAAGTATTTCTTCAAAATGTAGTGCCCAAAATACAAATAAAAAATGAAACTGGACCACTTAAGAAAAAAAAAAAATCAAATTCAGGAGACCCAAGCTTATCGTCCTGCACAGAGTTCAGAGAAATACTAAGGTAAAAATTCTCAGATCACATCTACACTGTTGGTCATTTTTTGAGAACTTGCATTCTTTAACCAGTAACAGACTAAATGAAAAAAAATTCTTAACAATTGCTCATAAAACAAAAATAGGGTCTACTGAAAATTGCTCAAAAAACAAAAAAATATTCTTTTCAAAATCGCTAGACAAAAAATCCACCTTTTTTGGATCTGCTTGATGAGGAAAAATACAAAAGTGAGCCCTCAGTATTTCTATTCCATTTAATAAGCATACAGACACCTGATTCTTTTTTAGGACTTGCAGATTGACCTTGGCAACGACTTTAGAGCAAAAAAAAAAGTGTTGACCTATTTCTTCCAGTTACACAGTCAGGGCAAAATACCATAGCTTCCATCATTAACTGACACACGGATCTATCACAATCACCTATGTAAGATCCAGTAGCTGCTGAGGAAGTCACCAGCTGTGCCATGGTGATCCCTCTCTTTATCCCCGTCTTTTTGCTGGTCAGGCCAAACAGGGCGTCCGTGTCTATGTCCCGTAGTCGCTGGTCAGTTAGATAGTGAGGCTGGTAAAAGTCCCCCAGGAGTTCTTGGATGAGGTGGCCGACGTCGGCGATGGATATGAGCTGTCGCTGGGGACCCAGAAATGCAGACATTGCACAAATGTTTTTGATTACTAATTATCTTCTTAAAGTAACAGATCTGAAACAGACATAACAAATCAAGGTATGTCACTCATTTCTCTACAACAGTGCTCTCAAAAGACCTTTACAGTCCTGGCCTTTTCTCTTCACCACTCCTGCAATAACTCATTCTTTGTCCATCTATGAATTTTTGTATGTAAAAGAATAGTTTACATCAAACCACACAGGGATCTATTAAAAATCTTCTTTTTTAAGGCATATTTTACAATGAACATTAGCCATTGTATATATGTGAAGCAGCGTGGGGAAATCAGGCGCTCGTCAAAACACATTAATCAGAAAAACAGGTATTTTTTTGCAAGTTTGGAAATTTTTATCGAATTTTTATTTTTTGGCTCAACTTCTTTTATGCCTAAACAAAAACAGATTTCCATGTGAATTTTACAGAAAAACATGGATTAAAGGCACAAAATATGTCACTTTTCTGTTTCCAAGGATTCTTTAGCTATAGGACTAAACTAACTTTGGCGGCCATTTTCTCACTAATTTCACCGCTGAAACCAGGGGACCTCACATACATCAGTCACAAATATCTTGAGTTCTATTCAAGATAGATGGATCATTATTTCATTGGAAGCTAGGCAAATAAATCAGCTTTCAGGTGAATAACTCCACATGCCCAAAAATTGACGAGCGCCTGATTCCAACACGTCTCGACACATATTATCTTATGTGTTCACAGCATGGCAAAAACTGAAAGTAAACTAAATAGTACAAGAATACATTTATCTCTTAAATTTTTCAACTTTTTTCAGCACATTAAGGGCATAAAACTGCCATTTTTAGAAGTAGCCACATAATGTAAAACCTTTGAAGGATTTATGACAATCATCTCTTTGAATAAGTACTTTGAAATTATAATATTTGTACTGCATAAACCATTCAAATGAACAAAACGTTAACTTAAAATGTGTGGCAAATGGGGGGGGGGAATCAAGTGCTCGTCAATTTTATGGGATTATTGGTATCATCTTAAAGGCTGTTTATTTGCCTTGCTTTTGGTGAAAAAAAAAATCTATCTATGTCGAATAGAAGTTGAAATATTTGCGATTGAAGGAGGTCAGGGTTGTCTGGTTTCAGAGGTGAAATTAGTGAGAAAATGGCTGCCAAAGTGTGGTAATTTCCATAAATTGAGAGTCCTTGGAAACTGAAAATTGACATTTTTTGTGCCTTAAAAAAATGATTTTCAGTAAAATCCACACAGAAAAATGTATTCATATGGGTAAAAAAGGTGTTGCCCAATGGTGAGAAAAACACTAATTTCTTTGATTTCATTATTTTGACGAGCGCCAGATTTCACCACGATGGCTCACAAATGTAATGTAAAAAAAAACAGAGAAATCTGACAAAGCTTACCTCCCCCCACCTCAAAAGTTTTTAAAAAAATTAATACTTTGCAGTCACACTGCCAACAGTATAATGTGATCATCCAGCCAGGAGGGTGACTGTAACGGACTTCTCGGGCCTGGTGCACCAGGTTACCGGAACGGATAATTTTCAGCAGCGCATTATTGCGCTAAGTGACTGCAAAGTGTTAAGGGATGCAAACGCTTAGCTACAGAATTAAGAGAAATACTGAAATTAGAAAGTTATTACACCAACACTGACATACCATCTTTCTTTCCCCTACATTCACTGACAACTCTCTCACTTCAAGGAGTCCATTACCAACAAATCCATAACACAAACAAATACAACGTACATCCTCAAGTATATCTATTATATATCTTTAGCTTACAAATGGTTCAGTCACAGTACAGCTTCCACAGAAAACATCAATCTGTTTTTTACCTGCTAACATTTATACAAATGTCACTAAACAAAAATTCATCATTTTCTCTCCAACCATACCCCCATATCTCACTCCCACAAACCTGGCTCTCCACCCGCGATCTATCAGTTAACTTGTCTGTCTCTGTCCATCATTGCCCAATAAAAGGCAAAAGAAATTATTCCAAACTTAAATCAAGAACACTACTGGACCAATTATTAATTATACGTCACTATTATAATCGTCATAGTGCTCAGAATGCTAATGCATTCTTTGAAAATCATTGCATAAACAATTATTGCATTAAATTAAGCATTAGGCAAAATGCGAGATAGAGTCAGAGCAAATTAGTATGCATAAAATCAAACATTTCTTTTTAAAATTTACACAAGGCAAAGAACCAGACGTGCTTGCATTCAGCAAAAAAGAATTTTTTTAATAACTCTGATATTTGGAAGCTATCACATTAGTACAATGCTAACACTAAACAAAATAAAATATTAAGAAATACTGAAAAATGTTCAGAAGCAATGTTGGAAATTAACTTTAAAAGGGGCTAATGGTAAAATAGTATGTTAAAGATGAGAAATCAAATACAATATCCAGAACAAAAACTCTCACGTGACGCCAACACTGCATGGTATCTTGCAATTTGCCCTCATTCAAGAAAACATTGGTCACCGGTCACTGTATAGGTTTGTCAACTCTTTAAACACGTTTGTTCAAGAAAACAAATAGATCTAATGATAACTTTACAAAAGAATTTTTACAAAGACATCTAGTGATAATTATGATATATAGAGGGTAGAAAGTTGATAGGAAAAAGTATAATAGGTAACATCTGGACATTTACAACAGTTCCTTTTCACGAAGCATGAGTAGTCTGTTCATGGAAATATTTTTCATTAAATCATGTAGCTGAAGTTGGCTTTTAAACAAAGTAACATAATACCAGGCAACGAGAATAACTTGAGAGAGTGGACAACTGTATACGTGAGCTGCTGTATTCTTATCTCAAAACTCAAAAAATCTTATATATCTTTGTCTATACCATGCTATATTAGAATATGGGCTCTACCATGGGTTGAGGACATATGATGTTAAAAAAGAGTTTCAGTTTCCTACATACCATTGAAAAAAGAACAAGCAGAACATTGTTCTTCTCAGCCCACGAGTGTTCATAAAAGCGCATCATTTGTAAATGCTTTACACTCCGTATCAATGCAAATTAGAACATTCAAGAGGGGGACTGCCAACTCTGGCTGGATAGTATAAGGCATCTCAGCAGAAGGACAGAGAAATTCAAACAAATAAATGTTCCAGTGGGAATTGAGTTCTTTATTTCAGTACCAACACATGGGAATGATCATTACCACTATGCCAGAGACACTGGTATACTATAGTATTGGAAATAAAGAAATACGTAATTTAATCATTTAATCTATTTCAATAATACCAATCCTCATAACATTCCTATGCACGTGTAAGTACTTAGGCTCTGCAGACTAAAACAGATGGTCATCAACAGCTGTTTCAATACAAGAGAACAGACGGAACAATACATCTCCTACCGCAGGCTTTAGTGACATTTATAAGTTGACTTCTGCGATTGAACCGAACCCATACTTACACACGCCACTGAAAAAATCTCAAGATCCAGTTGCAAAGAATTCTATGACATTTAGAATGCAAAAACCCCTAAAGTGCAAGCAAACGCTGAAGCATTTTCAAACATGAAAATAAAATTGTGAGTATAAAGCCGTTTTCATCATTTGAAATATACATTTCTGAAAACCAATAAAAGATGAAATAGTCTAACTCTACCTTCAAAGCAAGGTTGTGTAAGAGGTAAATCGCTGGTTAAACGTATGTCTCACGTAGGACAGGCAGGATTTTTGTAAAGTATGAGACAAAAGATATTTTCATGTAATGCATACAGCTAGCTGCAACATCGGTGAAACAAATCAGTATGTTCCTTCTGCTGGGATTTCTACTGTGGTCTGTATAGGGATTGTAGCTGTTTTATGCCCCCATCGACCAAATTTATATCATTTAGGAGGTGAGCTGTTACCTGTGTCCGCATTAGCAGCCTCACACTATTGTGATCTCAAAGGGGAGATTGTGGTCTAAAACCAAACTGGCAATCTAACAGTTACGGCATACTAAATGAACTTCTTGTGGCCCAGAGAAGGGGATCAATAGTGGACCTAGTCCTCTGCGGTCGCGTGAACAAGACTTTTTACTCACTTTGTAGCCAACAAAAAGCAACATGAAAAAATAGAAAAAGCAAAAACGGAGAAAAAAGTGGGGGGGGGGGGTGTTTGAGGAATGGCATTATTAGACACAATTTACAGACTGTTTTTATAGAACACAAAGTGAACATCCAAGAGGGATGGATCTGGATTTACAACAAAAACACTAACAAAATTTAAGTGACTGACATAGCTAGGAGTTTACTCCATAACATGTACACTAACATGCAGTGACTTACTTCTTCCCCTCCATCCTAACAGGAAGAAATTTTTAAAGGGAAAAAAAAGGGATAACATGTGATAAGAAGTGAAAAACTGGCAACCTAATTATGCTCAAAACACGAAAACAAAGCAGGTGACATGCTGATTTAACCTCAAAGCATGTAATTCTAGAGTAGAAACTACAACAACTGAAATGAGATTTATTAAAGTGATCAGTTTATTCTAAGATGTCACTTGACCATGATGCCCCTCAAACTGCTGTCAGGTTATGTCACCAGACCTGTACATTTACTTATTTTTCTGACAGGACCTAGCCTTATTAGAGATTCTCTAAACCTTTCAAACGTTCAAGTCAAGAACATTCGAAAAGGGTGTTAAACCAGAGTCATCAACATTGCAGTTGCAAGGTATCAACAGAGTTACTTGCATGCTCTCCGGTCACTCTGCAGATATTCTCAGAGGTCAGCCCAGGATTCCAGGCAAAAAATCCCACGATAAAGATAAATACGAAAAAATGCTGACTGAAGTTTTACTCTACGGATAGCCTGCTACAAAACTGGCAAGGGGACAGGTGGAATGTGACTCATATGGGGGCAGAGGAGGAGCTAAAGGGGGGGGAGGTGAGGCTGGAATAGGACGAGGACGGGCTATGTAAAAGAATAACCAAAGAACTAATTTCCAAATTTTAAAAAATCACACAAACCTAAAAATAGAGAGAAAAAAAAATTAAACTGGCCATCTGCTGTTTTCAGCTTTATCTCATCCATGTATATCCAAAAGGTTACAAGACCTTGAAGGAGGACTGGACCTTTAGTTGTAAACAAACACTCACCATTTTTCCCTTGACCCTGGTTAGCAAGGTGTACAGAAGACTGTTGCGCGGAATCTGAAGAGATCACAAGAGAAATATTCTCAATTCCCTGTTTCCCTGTAAATATTGTTTTAAAAAGCACTCACATGACTTTCTGAAGTTGTGAGAGTGTGCTATAAAACATTTTAAAAATTATATTCTTTACACCTTCACAAACATAACTAATTCATAATGTTCAGGAAGCAGGCTGCTCCACATTGTCCTTCAAAGTCAACACTTAATAATAATAATAATAAATAGCATTTGTATAGCGCATATCCCCACTCAACAGCAGGCTCTATGCGCTTTACACTATATTATTACCCCAGAAGACCACAGAACACTCCGAAACATTCTCAGCTTCCCAGGAAGCATACAGTGCAAGCAGCTGATTAAGCGCTCAAACACTAACAAACTGCCAAGATCTTTCGCCATCTATAGCCGGGTACCCATTCCCACCTGGGTGAAGTGAAGAAAATTCGTGTAAAGTGCCTTTCCCAAGGACACAACGTCGGGCCCCTGACGGGATTCGAACCCACTGATCACAGTGCAAAGACAATGAGCAAAGTGGGTCGATTTAGAGCTCAGTAGAATTTTTTGTCCATAAAGAATGCAGGGATTCTCTTTGAAAGTAACCATTAAATGGGACCGTTACAAGTTTTGTAAATTTTGTAAAAATAGACCTTCATAAATTTCAATAATCTTGCGCATCTTTGGTAAAAGTTGAGAGCAAACCTTAGGCCTAACCACCTAAGCACAACCCCAGCCAACGAATAGTACGATAATTTCCACAATACTTCTCCCGCATGCTCCTGTTCGCTTATACCCAGTGCAAACTGCAAATTAGATTCATTGGTTTAATTAGACCACTCAGATTCCCCTTTATGGATGGGGCAAAAGATACCATTTTGGTACAACATGAAAGATTTGACTTGTGCCCTTAAAACACAAAAGCTTTTTATTTCTAAGGTCACAATCAAATCAAGTGCATTAAACTGCAAATTGGATTCATAGGACTGAATCAGGGCCAGCCACATTTTCCTTCACGGATAAGATAGGGCGAAAGCTACTATTTTAGCACAATATGACTAAATTCAACTTGATTCAACTGTGTCCCTACCTAAGCCAACCTTATGAATTCAGCAAAGGTGAAAATGTCTCAGTAATGGGATCTTTATTACATGAAACAATACCCAGTTACATTGAGTACTCAAAACAAACAAATTTAAGAAACAGACATGTTTACAATATTCATAAATATGAACTCTGAGAAAAATGACTTATTTAGGAAACCCCAGTCATGGGACTGACCTCATTGTAGAGCATGATGAGACGTTTGATGGACAGGAAGTCCTTGAGGCTGACCCCATTGTCCAGGAAGAGCTCCACAAAGTCCACACGGTTGAGCTGTATGGCTGACATCATCACCTCGTCCAGCATGCCCGTCTGTGGGCAGGGAGTTTACACACGTACATGCTTGCTGAGTTATTGGTTAGTGTATGAGTTTAACACATATTTCAATACAGAACACTTTTCTACACACAGAACTTCCAAAATGCACAAAATTGTATGGGTTAAATGCCCCTTGCAACACCATGAAGTTATTAAAGATGCATAACCCATGAATTTATCATCAATCTCTGACAGGACGCAGCCAAATGGAAAAATGTGTGTAAAGTGCCTTTTCGAAGGACACAACATCAGCCTGAGTTGAGCGTCAAAACTCTGAACTTGCAAGCTTATAATTATGGGCACTGTAACCTTACTTGTATAATTTATTTAACTAGACAACCAATGCAACCAGAACCTCCCAGTTTAATACCCACTTCTAAAAGTATCAAGCCAAGTGGATCTCTCTCTCTGCCTCTTTCACCCCGGTATTGGGTACCATATGCCACCAAGAAATAAAGCTCTCCACGTGTCTCTGTCATGGGTAATCCTCTCTACCTCAAGCAAGCTGTGCCTCAACCGCCTACAGATCTCATTCCCAGGTGGACTTTGGTCTTCCCAAACAACTCAAATTTAAAACATGTTCCTCATCAAACCAAGGCCTGTTGCATCATTGCCCAATAGGATACCACCTGGTGTGATAGCACTCCCCCACTTAGTAAATAAACATTGAAAATGTAACAACAACATTAATGACAAACTTAAGAAGTGCTATCATAGAGCCTATGTTGTGTTTAAAAGCACCATAAACTTTCACAAAGACTCTCTTTCTCTCTCTCTCTCTCTCTCTCTCTCTCTCTCTCT